TGGCGGTGCGAAGAAATTCCGGTTACACGAAACATCACCTGGCTGTCTAACACTTTCACCAGTGCTCACAGCATAACTCTGGGGACCACGCTACGCTTCAGACTTTTGGGCCCCGCTACACCTCCATGCTTACCTGGATGTACATATCAGAAAGTTGGTCCCATTGTGGGATGGAAGGCTGTGACCCTTTAGAGGTAGAAATTACTGAAGGTCCTTAGGGCACTTTGGGCTTCATTCAGAGTATTGCGTTATCTGGGAGTGGTGGCCCACACCTGTAATCCTCAAACTCCAGAGGCAGAGAAAGGAGAGTCACAGTGTGTGAGGCCAGCCTGGTCTGCATCGCAGTCCTGGGACAGCTGGGACTATAGAGTAAGCCCCTGTCTCAACACCCAAGCAAACCAAACAGCAAATAAGAACAAAACCCACAACAATGGAAAGGAGACGTTGGCGGTTCTTTTGGGATTCTGAATCTTGCGTGAGGGTTTTTATGAAACCTGTGCCTGCCCCCTCCAGGCACTCCAAGCTCCTGCTTAAAGAAGTCATCTCTCTTCCCTACAGGGACTCCTGGCACTGGGAGGTCATTCAACCACGACACCCTTTTGAGGGCTGCATTGTTTTCTTGTTGATGTGACAAAGTGTGCCTTAAGAGGCACCTTAAGGGAAGAAGGGCTTGTGGTGGCTCACGGTGTGAAGTGATACAGTCCATCGTGGCAGGAAGACATTGCAGGAGGCAGGGATGACATGACAGCATGCAGGGAGACATGACAGCATGCAGGGAGACATGATAGCATGCAGAGAGACATGACAGCATGCAGAGAGACATGATAGCATGCAGGGAGACATGATAGCATGCAGGGAGACATGACAGCATGCAGGGAGACATGACAGCATGCAGAGAGACATGACAGCATGCAGAGAGACACGGCAGCATGCAGAGAGACATGATAGCATGCAGGGAGACATGATAGCATGCAGGGAGACATGACAGCATGCAGGGAGACATGACAGCATGCAGGGAGACATGGTAGCATGCAGGGAGACATGGCAACATGCAGGAAGACATGGTAGCATGCAGGAAGACATGGTAGCATGCAGGGAGACATGATAGCATGCAGGGAGACATGATAGCATGCAGGGAGACATGATAGCATGCAGGGAGACATGATAGCATGCAGGGAGGCACAGCAGCATGCAAGGGAGACATGGCAACATGCAGGGAGACATGATAGCATGCAGGGAGACACAGCAGCATGCAGGGCAGACATGGCAACTGGCAGGGTGTACATGGCATGGCAGCAGGCAGGGTAGGCACGCAGCAGGACCGAGGAGCAGATAGTTACATTGAATCTGTAGTCAGGCAGTAGAGAGAAGACAGGGTTGGCTGTAGCTCATCAAGGCCCACTCCCTTAGTGACCCGGTTGCTCTATTTAGTCTCCGCCTCCTAAACGTTCCACAGGCTTTCCAAATATCACTACCAGCTGGAGAGCAAGTGATCAAACACATGAGCTTATGGTAATCATTTTATACTCAAAAGTATCATGGCCCAAGGTGATCCCAGGTCTCTGGACGTTTTTTTTTTTTAAAAAAAATCACTGGATAAATTCCCCATGTCACTCCAGTAATGGAAAGCAGACTTGTGAGAATCCCATAGACGTAAACTCAGATACTCATGTGAGCTGTGCTCACATCTGGCAACAGAAATCGTGCATTTATTCACACAGGGCAGCATGCTGGCTAGCTTTGTCGGTCTGACACCAACGAGGGTCATCTGGGAAGAAGGAACCTCAGAGAAGAAAATGCCCACAGATTTGCCTGCAGATCAGTCTGATGGAGGTATTGTCAGGGTTAACAATTCATGTAAGAGGACAGCCAATCCTACTCTATAGATGGAGCCACTCCTGGGTGGTAGTTGTGGTGGGAATAGAAACGGTGTTAGAACATGAGCCCGGAGAGTGCGCCGGTGAACCGTGTTCCTCCATGGACTCTTCCTCAGCTCCATTCATGATGGACTAAATGAAAGCCTCTCCTACCTAAGTTTCTTTTGGTTGTGGTGTTTATCATAGCAATAAAAGCAAATTAAGCTAGATTCATAGCTTTAATAATAATTTACGGTTTTTTCTATATCCGTGACCCAGAATGTGTGAGTGTGTGTGTGAGTGAGTGTATGTGAGTGTGTGTGTGTGTGAGTGTATGTGAGTGAGTGTGTGTGAGTGTGTATGTGTGTGAGTGTATGTGAGTGAGTGTGCGTGTGTGTGTCTCTCCGTGTGCTTGTGGAGGTCGGAAGACAACTGTGGAAGCTATCCCCTCCCCCATGTACATTTGGGGATTGAACTCAGGTCATCAGTTGCAGCAGAAAGCCCTTTTACCTGATGAGGCATCTTGCAGACCTCAAGTGTGTTAGAATTGTCCAACACGAGGGGGCTGGAGAGATGTATCCACAGTTAAGAGCACCGGCTGCTCTTACAGAGGATCTGGGTTTGATTCTCAGCACCTGCACGGTGACTCACAACCTCTTGTACCTCCAGCCCCAGGGGATCTGACACCCCCCCTTTTTTTTGGTCTCCCTGAGCACCAGGCACATGCATACATAGACATACATGCTGGTAAACACTCACATATGTATAATAAAATGAAAAGGAAAAGCTTCCTATATGTACTATATCTGTTAGCTCAATAAGCAAGTTCATGGACGACAAAACTAGCTAGAGTTTAACGGTTACCCTCTTGCAAAGCCCCTCCTGGTGCTGTGCTTGTGAGGCTTAGCACTAACGAGGCCATGGGGACTGGGCCACCTATTTCTCATGCCTAGCTTTGGAAATCAGTGTCCCACTTACAGTTCTGATTTTATTTGGCTTGTGGCATGGTTGGTGCCCGGTGTGTAGGTGTTTGTTTGAGTCAGGGTCTCTCTGTGTAGCCCTGGCTGTACTGGATGGAACTCACTCTATAGATAAAGCCTGTCTCTGCCTCCTGAGTGTTGGGATTAAAGGCGTGAACCTCCACGCCCAGCCCTCCAGCACATAGTTTAAACATTAAAAAAAGATATACAGTTATCACAGAGGCGACTTTTATCCACCTCAAATTTATTTGCCATAAGAAATAAGACAGGTGAATAAGCTTATTTTCTCCCCTAGGGTTAGCCAATTATTGCATGATCAGTGTCAATATTGCAATATCAATCCTCCCTCTAGTTCACTCACCCCTTTATTTTACACCACTATGCGTTTGCAAACCCACATGACGTCTGTCTCATCGATCTGCGAGTCTAGTCAGGATTTAATGCCTCAGCTTCGCAATACATTTTAATATTTTGTATTTCTCTACAAAAATTCGGTATAACGTTTCCTGTGATTAGAACGCTTTGCTCTGCAATTCTGAGAAAGATTTAGGATGAGGGGGACGGGTTGAGAGTAGATCTCGAGTCTCCTGCAGTGCCAAACCCTCCTTTCATGGTCGCTAAATCGAGTGACCGGTAGAAGCCCAGGTGATGGGGCTGTGCGCTGCCTGCTCTTCCTCCCCGCTGTCTCCTCATGTCTTCTGCCGTCTCCGTCATGACTTCACAGCACATCTGAGAACTCTGAGCTCGGATTCTAAGGGAGTGAGAAAGTCTTGAGTCTGTCTGACGCCTTCCTTCCAGGATGGACTGGGCAGCCTGTGGGTCCCAGTGAGCACGACTGCTCGGCAGAGAGGGCCTCACAGAGCTGAAAGGACCGCGCTCCAGTTCCAGTGAGTGGGTGGGAGGGGCCTGAAGGGTTGACCTGAAGTTGTCCAGCCTCGTCCAGGAAGTAGACTCTTCCCTGGCAGCTGCACAGGGTGGGGTCGCCGAGTTCCAACGGTAAGACGACTCTATTCCCCGATGAGCTGGCTTTTCTCATATTTCCTCTTCAGACTCAGACTCTGGGCTATTTCATCTTATGGCCCTTTGGAACCCAATTCTAGTGTCCCCATTGCCCAACCCCAAAGCCTTGTGCCCTCACAATGTGTGAGGTACTCGTGTTCATGGTAGGCACATCTTATCTTATTACGGGGTGCTTGGGTGCTCTCAGGCATGCTGAGTCAGGTGCTCTGTAAAATGTTTTGAAGACTCAAAATAGTTAATAGTTTGCTAGTGCGTACTGAAAAAAAGAACGTTGGAAACTTTATTAGACTAGTCCATCATGCTCACAACGTGGTGAGGGAGCAAGGTTAATGACAAGAAGCAAGATTAGTCAATAAAAATCAGGCACGTGCCTTAAATCTCGCATTAGAGGAACAAATAATTTGAATGAAATATAACATCAGCTACTGATCGTATTTTTTGAAGGAGTAAGGAAGGAGCAAGAGAAACACCCAAAGATAATTGATTATGGAAAGATATTACTCACATGTGCTACTTTGAAAATGAATATGACAGAAATGAAGACTCGAGAAAAATGTGAGATAACACCTTTCTGCAGAATTTCAGTACTGAACCGGGGTCCCTTTGTCACACATGGCTAGGGATCTTATGTATCAAGGTTTGTAACATTTCCTGCAGTGCGACTTGGGAGTTACTCTGTACAGTAATGCAAGTGCAGCTGGTGACAAACATCTTACAATAAAAAGAGAAAACAGATTTATTTTACCAGATGCACAAGCACATAGGAACATATCCACACACAGGCTTGTGTTCTGCAATCTATTAACTGTTAGATACTTCGGAGGCACAGGAAACCTTTCCAGGCTCCTGCACAAACTTGGTTAAGCAATCCTCGCAGATAATGGATCCCTCACCTCAGGGCAACTGAAACCACCATCAATTATTCCTTTATCCAACTGTTGGAGCCATTCAAGATCTTTCCTTTAAGCTCTGAGGCTGCAATTTCCTGTTTGAAGGGTGAAACTTTGGTTTAACTGAGCGTCCGTCCCAAGAGGTACTCTGTCTACCCTTTGCTTGGAGAATATTACTCTTCTGCAAGAATGGGCGTGGAAGGTCTACGCTTGTTGTGTTCTTTTGTCTTTGGCATGAAACAATTCCAACAAATTATTATTTACTTGAACCCAAAGGCCACCCTCCACTGTGGACTCAAAGCAGGGAGATGAAGAGGACAGAGACTGAGAGACCAACGTGGCCCAGCCCTCCCCAGTGCCCCCCTTCTTGTTCTGGATTTGTGTCGTGATCGCTTGGGCTCTGTGGGTGCTGCTGTCCTGCTATCTGGCATGCTCCTCTGAGGCTCCGGTTTGGTCTTGTTTTCCGCCACTATTGATGTGAAAGAGTGTGCGTCACCTCTTTGTGCCCCACAAAGAAACACAAGGAGAGACTTCCTGTGTGGCTGTCGTTGGGGACCCTCTCTGTTGTCTTCTTCCTCTGAGTGCCATACAGCTTTGTGTTCCTGTCGCATACATTGTTCTGTCGTTGTAACTGGTCCCCCGTACCCATTGTCTGTTTGGGGAAGCTCCAAGGTCTAAGGACGCACAGACCACCAGGAGTGCTGCGTGACTCACAGACGCATGCTTCAGCTTTCTCCCCAGTGTCCCTTTTGCCCCTGAAAGAAAAAAAGGAAGAAAAAAAAAAGAACCCAAAGGCCATGCCCCACAGAAGTAAGAAAGGCAGATGAGCTAGAGCCGACGCTATTAAAGACCAGGAAAAGAGAGGAAGCCAGATGCAGCCAGAGGAGCAGACCCAGGGAGGATGCTGGGTAACACTCCTTCTCCATGGCCATGGGCACATCCCCGTCTGTCTTAGCTGTTTCTGCATCACAGCGACCAGCATGCCTAAGGAAGGAAGGGCTTGTCTGGTTCCTGGCTTCAGACGTTCTCAGTCATCATAGGGAGGGTGGCACGCTGGGGTTTGGGTAGTAGGAGCGTGTCATGGACACACTTCACAAGGCGAAGGACCAGGAAGCAGTGGCCATGGCCAGGACACAGGCTAGGCTCTACCTTTCAAAGCCTGACCCACGGTAACTTGTTTCCACGGCACAGGCCACATCTCCTAAAGGTTCCATAGCCTTCAAAATACCAGCACAAGCAGGAGACTGAGCATTCAAAACACAGGGGGACATTCCAGATTCAGGTCACATCACTTTTTAATGTTATCGAGTCCCTACTAAGTTCTCACTTGTTTTCACTCAGTGTTTGAGTTACTATCAAAATAACAACACACCATCTCCCCTGAGTTAATTCGAAGATCAAATGAAATAGGGTAGCTATCTTATTTGGTGCCAAATACAGCCTTTATAGAGACCAAACAAGGAAGTCAGAGCTCTGACTTACTCCCTGACAATTTAGTCAATAAATCAGATGTGCACATAGCAGTAAGGCTGGACCTGAAAAAAAAATCTGCTTGAAGGATACAAAAAGATTGAAAGATGCGTGGAAAAGCACTGCCACACAAGCTGACAACACAAGCTTACGCACAACCTGTACATACAGATAAACAAATGCACACTAAGCATATCGGAACGATCGCCATGGCTGGGGTGGAGCATGCTCACGACACGGAAGCCAGGACTAATACATTAAAGCAAGAGCAAGAGCTGGCGGGGGTGGGGGGCAGTGGCGATGCGCTCTGAATTGAGGGTGCAATTAATTAAACTCCCTGTATCGAGACTGAAAATTAAAAGATAATAATAGGTATCATTTCTCCCAGATCTTCCACTTGCTCTCAGGCTGGGGATGGCGGGGTAACCTTCACACAGCACCCTCCTGTTGCTTTCTCTTTCCTCCAGCTTTCTGGGCAGCTTAACACATAGGTACATTAAAAGGTACCGTGCTCCCCTGTGTATATTAAAAGGCACCGTGCTCCCCCTGTGTATATTAAAAGGCACCGTGCTCCCCCTGTGTATATTAGAAGGCACCGTGCTCCCGCTGTGTATATTAAAAGGCACCGTGCTCCCCTTGTGTTTATTAGAAGGCACCATGCTCCCCCTGTGTATATTAAAAGGCACCGTGCTCCCTCTGTGTATATTAAAAGGCACCGTGCTCCCCTGTGTATATTAGAAGGCACCGTGCTCCCCCTGTGTATATTAAAAGGCACCATGCTCCCCCTGTGTTTATTAAAAGGCACCGTGCTCCCCCTGTGTTTATTAGAAGGCACCATGCTCCCCCTGTGTATATTAAAAGGCACCGTGCTCCCTCTGTGTATATTAAAAGGCACCGTGCTCCCCTGTGTATATTAGAAGGCGCCGTGCTCCCCCTGTGTATATTAGAAGGCACCGTGTTCCCCCTGTGTATATTAAAAGGCACCGTGCTCCCTCTGTGTAGCCTTTCTAGACTTCAGAGCTAAATTATAAGTCAGTTCAGAGTGTGATTTCATCTATGAAATTAGGGCAAAGTAGGAAACACACAGAGGAAACGTGGAGATCCATCATAGTGTTATCCCTTTTAAACGGAAGGTCGAGCTGCCTCCCCCTACCCCCCAGGTTTAAGGCAAGACGAATGAAACACAGCTGTTATCACTTTTCTTCAATACACGCTCAGGTCCCCCCCCCATCCCCACTCCAGGAGCCCTCGGTTTTCATCTGCACGGGCAGCCGCAGGATGAGTAATTGTGGCCCTGTGACGGTGCAGGCTCTCGCCTCTTAGCCCCATCCACACTGGTGCCGAGGAAAGGAGGGACTGGAAAATATTTGGGTTTCCAAGGTAACGGGACGAAGCTGGAACACAGCCGCTGGCCCAGCTGAGGACTTCCAGTGCTGACCCTAGTGGGCTCTCGCTTTCCTCGGGCAGCTGGAAACGAGCCAGCTTCCGGGAAAACCGTTCCCATTCCCTCCTCAAGGTCACCTTCGGCTCCGATGGCCTGTTCTCTCGGGAAAGCAGCACCAGATTTGGGGGAGCTAAGAGAGCTGCTCTGGAAATGCGCGCCCCTGCCGGGGCTTTCGGTTTACAGCAGTACTGTCGTCCCTCGTGGCTGCACACACAGCAACATCATGACTCAGGTAAAGGAAGCACAGATTCAGCCCCCAAAGGATTTCTGTTCTACCACACCCCACGGCGCGGCCACTCCCTGCTTGTATGAGTCACCTCCTCCTCTTATGACAACGCTCTATGCATGTGCTTTCTCTGTGTCCCCTTGACTTTCTCTCTGGGGCTCCTTTTCTTCGTTTTCCTTTTCCTCCTCTGGCAAGACCCCCCCCCAGTGTGTGTGTGTGTGTGTGTGTGTGTGTGTGTGCGCGCGTGCATGCACAAGTTGTGAGTCTGTGTCAAATCAGAACATGGATCTGAGCCCATAGCTTGGGACACAAGCAGCTTATTTCTCCAGTGCCTGGATTCGTGTTAGAATACCCAAAATGACTTGTATTATCAATGACGCCAAGTGAGGGAGCCCAACTTTTACGTCTGGGATGTGAGGGAGTCTGGGGGCCCCAGCTTTGTTTGTAAGAGTGTTGAGGGTTCTGTTTTGGTTGAGCTTGTCCCTTCCACACAGGAACCCAAGTCCCACACAGGTCTTACCCACCGTCACAAAGTCACTTTCCATTCTCCCTGTTCTGTCCCAGAGGATGTCTGTGTGTCTGTCTACCTATCATCCATCTATATCCATCCATCCATCCATCCTTCCTTCCTTCCATCCATCCATCCATCCATCCATCCATCCATCCATCCATCCTTCATCTACCTATACGTGTCTATCTCCCATTTATATGTCTGCCTGTCTTCCTGTCTATCATCTATGTATCTTTGTCACGGTCTTCTAGGAGCACCCCGTCTAATAATAAAAAAGGGTGGGCTATGCACTAATTAGCTGTTGTAACTTTAGACAAAGTACTCAGTATCGATGTGCCTTGATCCTCACGTGTCCAAGGGATGATGCTGCTTACTCTACAGAGTTGCTGTGGGATGGATGGGTAAAAAGATACCAGGCGGGACCACTCAGCTATTATTATTATTACTATTTTATTTTTATTGTTATTACTGTCATTTTTTTTCTGGGATAAGGTACACACCAAACAGGTTTTGCAAATATTTCCCAGGGACTCCTAAGGTTACTCAGATTCAGTTCCAGTCAAACCCGAGTCCTCCGTGCCCAGTGACTCCATTCCTTCTGACTTTTCCATTGCTGCTCAGCAGCTCCAGCCAGTTCCCCCTGCCCTAACCCAAACCACTTCTGTCCTCGATCCTTGGGACCCCACCGTCTGCTGGTCCCCTCCTGCCTCCCAGGTCTGAGGACTCAAAGGCTGAAGGGACACCAGCCCGCTTGAGCATTTGACTCTGGCAGGCCTTGCCCTTCTCCCCGATTCCCTCTGCCTCGAATAAAAACCGTTAGATTACATTCCTAACACGAGACACTAAACTCTGCTCCCTCATTTGGCCACTTCCTCCTCCTGAGGCTGACTACCAAAGTCCGGCAACCAAAGGCCCCTTTTGGCTCACCTAATTAACACACCCAATTAAAATTAACTATCTCATCCACAGAGTTCCCCTTGTCTTTATAAACTGTTGTTTGCCCATGTACTATGTCTGTCTCCTCTCTATCCAGAGGTGGTCTTTGTACCCTCTGGGACAAGCGCCCCTGTCCCCTTTCCCTTGTCCCCCTCCCCTTCTCCCTCTCCTCATCGCCTTTACCATCACACCCTAGCCCATTCTAACACAGGCACCCCCCTCCCCTGCTTTCCCTCTTCTTAAAAATTACACCTGCACTGCCATTTGCTGCTGTCTTATCCTGTGTCAGAGAGCAGCCTCTTTAACTTTTCTTCCCTGGTTAATAAAGGATCTCTCTGTGAAAGCAAGCGTTTGGGTGTGGTTTGTACCTAATCTGGGGTCTAGGAGGAAGCCCCCTAGACCCCTTCAAAGGTCAAGTAGCTTCTCTCCATCTATCTCCCTTGGGATGACCACTGGACAGTAAACTGTGACTTTAAACTCAGCAATGCCTCTCAGGTAGTCAGCACCTGCCCCCATGAGTTTTTCCTCCCAGGAATTTCAGACGTGCCTGCTGTGGGATATTGGTATACTGTGTGAAGATGTATTGCTGTGACTGGTTTCATAAAGAGACCAACAGCCAATAGCTAGGCAGGAGGTATAGGCGGGACTTCCTGGGAGAGAGAGAGGAGGTAGGAGATGAAGTTGGCTGTGAGAGAGATGCCATGGAGACTGAGAACAAACCAGGCACACAGAATGAGAGAGAGGT